GGGAGAGGTTGTCTGGTCCTGGCTACATTTTCCTGGGACCTCGCCAGGTGCAGGCTCTTCTCCCTTGGCTTGAAGCAGAGAGCACGGAGGTTGGACGCAGGCCACTAGAGCAGTTGTCCAGGATTTCCTGCCAAAACTAGACATTCCCCCTTGTTAATCCACTGGCTGGGCGTTGGCCTCCTGGGACAGAGGAGGGACAGATGAAAAACATGGAGGGCTGTTGGAAACCAGCAGAGCTATCTGGAAGTCCTTAAAAGTCATGGTGGCCAAGGTTGGTTATTTTTACAATATACCCATAACCTGCCTTTCCTCAGGAGCTGGGGTGGCATTCAGGCTTCCTGCAGCCTATAGGCAGGGGCCACTGTTAAAAGAGTTTCAAGGGAAGGGGACATTGTAACTTTTACCTTAATAGCTGTACAAACATTTCACAAATTCAAATCAATACATTTTTAACATCCTACCAAGCAAGGACGTTAGTAATATCATATTATAGTTCAGTTTTCAGTCATATCTTCATTTTCATTGCTAGAGTACTTTATTAAACCATACCAAACAGGAAAAAAAAAGTATTTTTCTTCAACTGATTTAATTTGTGTGTTAATTTTTAAAATAAGGCACTACAGTAGATTATGCTTCATCATGCCATTTTTTCTTAGGTGCCCAGTGTAGATGTTTCTAATACTTGCTGTTAGTAATCTAGCAACCATTAATTAAAACATTGATAGTGCTTTTTCAGATTTGTATTCTTGCCAAAAAAATGTCAAAAAGCCTACATATGTATTCTCTAGTCTTTGACTGGTAATTAATATATTGTCCTCAAGGAGTTTATTCCCAAATACACTAGCGTTTGACCATCACGTATATAAAAAGGTATCTTTGCCTTGGCAATCCCTCTCTCCCCCTCCCCCATTTATTGGTACTTGTTTTTATTATGTATGAAATTTTAACTGGAATATAAGGTGCAATGTAAGATAGCTTTTTGTACCATCGTATTTATAAAGTATATATTCAAATTCTGTAAGATGTCTCTTGCCTGAATAAAAGCCTCCCAATTTTTCCAAAATGCCTTATCTATTGTAACTAACTTAATTCACTTCTTAATTTCTCTTGAATCTCAAATTTAGATAGTGAGATCAATATATAAAATATTTTATATGTTGTAACCCTTTATCTATCTACTCTGTCCTCATTAAAAAAATAGAGGATATACTAGTACGGGAGTGAGAAGAGAAAGTCAGCATTAAAATATGCTTTTATGACTTCTGTGTCTTAAATGTATCTTGAGTAAGCCTATTAGTTACCTGTCTAACAGACTGCAAATCTTTTCTAAAAAAATGTCAGCCTCCAAGATAGACCAGGTCAGGAAACAGATACCCCCCAAACGCTAGAACTCTACTGATAGGACAGAATCTTGAAAGCTTGACAGCATTTCCCCTTCTTTCCCTCTTATGCCAAAAAGAGCAAGGCAGAACAAATGTGAGTTTCTTTCTCATGCTTTCCTGTTTTTCTGGGCTAAGCTGATATTTTGCTAACAGTTACCACATATTTTCTTCAAGGCCATCTCCCTCCTCCTCTACAAAATACTATTTTACTTGAAAGCTTATAACATACATTAACATTGGCTTATTTTACCCGTTGTCAGTTTGGATCTTCCATTATTAAATACATAACGTGTTTAAAATGAAATGCCTGAAGATATAATTTCAAATTTGGAACCACCCATCCTACCTCATTAAGATATAAACATAGCATTTTTTTTCACTGGAGCAGTTTGGAACCAAAACAGAAATGTCCCGGAGTGCGTTTAAGAATTTGAAGGATTTGATTGAAAGAGAACATTGCAAGTTCCCCCCTCTTCTTATTCAAACTACTGATAAAGAACATCACAGAAGCAGTATTCCCAACTAAGCTTTACAAGTATGATTTATAGTTTCTAACTGATTTGCATACCAATGTGAGTTCTCCTTTCCTGCTGATAAGACTTTGTTTCCAAATACAAGTGAGGGTGTCATTTTTGAACGTTCACCGTTAGTAAACTTTAAGCATTTGTATTGTGTAAATTATGCTCAATGTTTAACCTATGTATACCTATTTTAATTTTACCATTTATCTGCTCTTCCGAATTCTAGAGTTAAGGAAGGGCATACAGGTATCCACGGCAAAATTTCTTCTTCTTTTTTTTGTTCACTTCAGTCTGTTCTATCATTGTCAGCCCTACTTAAGATCCTTTGTAGATCATGGTCTTGAACACTTCATGGCCTTCTGATTGCTCACAAACTAAAAAGCCTTTGACGCTGTCTAATTCATTTTAGGAGCATTAGCTACCTTCTGTCTAGATCAGCAGTCCTGAAAGTGTGGTCTGGGGAACTCTGGGAGTCCCCTTCGTAGACTTTTCAGGGAGTCCACAAAGTCAAATATTTTAAAATTTCTCAGTTTAAATTTTTAATACAGTAAATATCAATAGATATAACCCACATAAACCAAAGCTCTTTTGGGCCCTCAACAATTTTTAAGAATGTAAAGGGGTCCTGAGATCAAAATGTTTGAGAATCTACTCCTCTAGATGGTAATCGGCAGCTCATCTTATGTAAGACACCAGAGATGTCTAAGTCCACGTTAGCCATTTTAGCTGCCAACCATCACCTCCATTCCAAGCTTCTCCATTTTCAGGCTTCTTCCCAGAGTTGTCTTAGATTTTTTAAGACTTCCCCCTTTGCCCCTTCGTGTCCCCTTCTCCAATAGGAAATATTTCATATACAAAATCTAAGCGAACAACTATTCTCAGCTCCTTTTCAGCAAAAAAAGTACAAAAGGCTTCATTTGAGTGGATATGTAAAGAGCCAGTGAGAAAATGGCTGAGTGCAGGCTCCTTGGTGTGAAGAAAAAAGGAAGGCTTTTAAATAAATAATATAGTAGCTTTGGTGAAAAATTTTGATCCAAAATGGATAAATTAACTTTATCTAATTGTCAAATTATCTAGTAATATTCTGAGTCGTTCTTTTCCAGACAGTCTTAATCGGTTTGGCAGAGCTTATTAATATTATGTATAATCTATTTATTTGTTTATTTTATTCAACTTATATAGTTGCCCATCTCAAACAAGTGACTCTTGGTGGCAAACAATCGTAAAAACAGTTAAAACCAGTACAAATAAATAACAATACATACATAAATCAGCTGAGAAAATTATAACCTCAGGTACCAATATAGCCAGGAAACAGGGCCTTTAACACTTCAAGGCCTTACGAAAGGCGAGCAGGGTCAGGAACACCCCAGTCTCTGGAGGGAGGATGTTCCGGAGGGCAGGGGCTGGGGCAGAGAAGGCACGCCTCCTACTCCCTGCCAGCCGACACTCCTTAGCCAACGGGACCCATAGCGTGCCCAACCTGCCAGATCAAACTGGACGAGTAGAAACAATTGGGAGGAGACAATCCCTATATAACCAAAACTTTTATGTGTAAAGGCGATTGGTAGCAGTATTGATTTAATAATATTTAATTGAGACCCTAATATTTCCATTTTGAAAGAAATTAGCTCTAGCTAAACAAATGTGGCTCCCTGAGCCTTCCGAACGCAGTCTTAGGAACCCTGCCCTGACTTTCCGAAGGCTCTGCGAACGCAGCGCAGGTTTCTGAAGACAGCGTTCGGAAGGCTGAGGGAGCCACGTGGAGGATACGTCTGCTGGAGAAGCCGAGTCCAAAAAGTGGAAAGCAAAGGCAGCGAGGTGCTTTGGCTGCGGCACCTGAACAAAAAAAGGCAAAAGGTTGGGGCGGGGAACTAGGAGAGAAGGCAGCTTGGGGCGGCTGCAGCTTCCTGGGGCAGTTTTGAGTGGCTGGGCTGGAGCGGCTGCAGCTTCCTGG